TCCCTGCACACATATGCAGTCCCCCCATTAAGAGAAGAAGGGATCCTTCCTCTTCCTTACATCTCAGTTGACCTGTGGTTTATTTTAGTGTGTGCTGCCAAAGCAAGCACCACCTGTGGCTTATTTAATCAATATGTGTATAAGAAATGATGCTATCAGACTTCTAAGGTGCTATCATAAAATGTCTTTTGGGTTCTATGTAAATCTCTTGAGATGATCTGTCTGGGAAATGACAACTACCATTTAAAATGTGTAGACTCAGAGAGCACCAAGCAAGGAGAAGACCACGCTAATCATGTGTAGAGGCTGCATGGAAAGAAGAAAACAAGTACGCAGCCAACCAGAATCCCGAACACCTCAGCCCAAATCTCGCAAATGAGTGAAAGAAAAGCCTACATGCAAGTCCAGCCCTAGCTTCCCCTGACATCTGCCATCTATGAGACCCCAAGTGGAGACCATGCAACTGAACTTCGAGTCCCAGAAAAGTGGAAATTAATGATATATTGTTTCTTTAAACCACTTGGTGTTGCAGTGGTTTGTTACATATTTATGGATAATCAAAAGTATTCTAAAGAAGATAAGCTAAAAAGAAATTATCTAAATTTCCATGTTGTTAAAGAAACCTGAATAATATAGAAAGCAATATTAAATATCCTAGCACAAATTAATTGAATAGAAAAAATGTTCATCATTAGAGCCAAAGCTTTTTTCTTGGAAAAGGCTAAAGCAGATAGATAATAAAGAGCTGAAATAGAAAATAGGTAGGTAATATCTACACACATAAATAAAATCAATAAATATATACATAGTACAGCTGATCAAGAAAAAAGGATACATCTAAAAATTAGAGAATATTACTAGGAACTTAATAGAATTTACATGAAATGGGAAATTTCTTTTTTTCTTGTGGCACTGGGGATTGAACTAGGGTCTTTGAGCTTGCAAGGCAGGCCACCAAACCACTGAGCTAAATCCCCAGCCCAGAAATTTCTTAAAGCATAATTTCTCCAACATATTTCATCAAAAGCTGAATATTAAACATGTAGTAAATAAGCTGAATGCAATATTATGTCTACACACACACAGATACACAGTACAAACCCAGGTCTAAATGGCATAATAAATGAACTTGTCCAAAAATTTAAGTAAGAAATGACCCCAATCTTATATATATTCTTTCAGAGAATAAAAAAGATTTTAAAAATTTCTGATTTGTTTTATGCACCCAGTGCAACATGTGTGCATAGTAAGAATATTATATTAAGAAAGAAAAAGTAGGGCTGGGAATTTAGCTCAGTGGCTCCGCTGCCTGCCTCACAAGTGCAAGGACCCAAGTTCAATCCCCGATACCAAAAAAAAAAAAAAAAAGGTAAAAGCAAGAAAGAAAATGTACAGGAAAGTCATTCTCATGAACATAATTGCAAAAATCTTAAACAAAATATTAGGTAACTGATGCAGAAATACATTTAAAAAGTTTATTTCAGTGAAGCAAAATTCAATGCTGTCACATCGCAGAATTCCTAAGAAAAAACTATGTAATTATCTTTGTAGAGAAAGAAAGTAGTAAACAAGGCTTACAACATACTTATGGTACAAATATGTAGGAAATTAAGGAGTGGAGGGGAACTTTCTTAATCTGTTAAAGCTAATCTCTCTAGATTTGTAGATAGATGGATAGAAAATAGATGATACAGATATATCTCCAATCTGAAAGTACTTATTATACCTAATGTGAAATGCTGAAAACTATCCTGTTAAAGGTTACCCTACCACTTCTATTTAAAATTTTACATAAAGACCAATAAATAAAAGAATTAATACTTAAGAACTGAACAAATGGACAAAATATTTGGACAATTATTTCAACAAGATGTCATCCAAATGGCCAATAACATGAAAATGTGCTTAATCTAATTAATAATCAGAAAAATGCAAATTAAAGTCACAACATGATGCTATTATAAACTCCTCAGAAGAGCTGAAATGAAAAAAAAACAGAATATCTCAAATGTTGGCAAGAATAAATAGCATCTGGTCCCCAATACACAGCTGGTGGAAGTATAAATTAGAATAATCTGTTTAAAAGTCTACTTGGCTATAACTATTAGAATGCCATATCTCTTGACCTAGCAATTATAGTTTAAAATATATTACTTAAAACATGCCTATGTAAATTAATTGAAAACATGTATATAATGCTCGTAGCAGCCCTCTTCACAATAGCCCCAAACAAGAAAATATTCAATTGTCCATTGTGTAAAATGGATTAGTAAACACTATGGTATACTCATAGCATAAAATAATATTCATAAATAAGAATGAATAAACTACAAGTATATGAAACAACATGGATATATTTCAGAGTACTGAATGAAAGAAACCAGACACACATATACATAAATACAGAGTATAATTCTATGTGTACAGTTCAAAAACCACAAAACTAACCTATAGTGTTAAAACTATAGTGTATACAGTTGCTTCCTACTCTCTTCAATAAAGAGGGCTGCTGCTTCCTGGGTGCTAATCACATTCTTGCACTGCATTAAGATTGCATTGTGGACCAGGGATCGAACTCAGGACCTTGCGCTTGCAAGGCAGGCACTGTGACACTGAGCTAAAACCCCAGCCCTAAAGGTTTTATGAACAAAGCCTCAGTTGCATGTGAACTAGCACAAAAAATCAAAAAGTGGGATCTCTTCTTCTTAAAAAGTTTCTGCACAGCAAGAGAAACCACCAACAGAGTGAAGAGATAATCTACAATGTGGGAACAGAAATTTACCAGCTGTTCCTCAAAGGTCTACTATCTAGAATATATAAAGAACTTAAAAAAATCAAACCTCCTAAATTTAAAGATCCAATCCAAAAATCGGCCTCTGAAATGAACAGACATCTCTCAAAGAAGTAGAAATAGCAAATAAACATAGGAAAAAATGTTCAATACCACTGGTCATTCAAGATATGCAAATAAAAACAATGCTGAGATTCCACCTCACCCCAGAAAGAATGGATGTTATCTTGAAATCAACCAACAACAAATACTGGCAGGGCTGTGGGGGAAAAGGGACCCTGCTCCACTGCTGGTGGGAGTGTAGACTGGTGCAACCACTGTGGAAATCAGTATCCACTGTGGAAGTCAGAGATTCCTCAGAGAACTAGGACCAGAGGTCCCATTTGACCCAGCTATTTCCCTGCTGGGTATCTTCACAAAAGAATTAAAATAATCATGCCACAGAGAAATATGTGCACCCATGTTCATAGCAGCACAGTTTGTAGTAGTTAAAACTTGGAAACAGCCCAACTGTCCTTCCACTGGCAACTGGATAAAGAAAATGTGGGGTTTTTAAAAAATAAAATGGAGTGCTACTCAGCCATAAAGAAAGAGAAGTTAGAGACATTTATATCTAAGTGGATATACATTGAAGCGATATTCAAGTGAAATAAATAAGACACACATGTATAAATACTGAATAGTTTGTCTGGTGTGAGAAATTGAAAATGTAATTAAGGATCAAAATGTATAATAGATAATGTGAAATAGGAAGCAAAGGTGTAAAGGGAAAAGGGAAGTGGGAGGGGTGGGGAAAGAAAAGAAGGAAATGGAATATTAAAAAAAAAAAATGGGAACAAATAGAAAGTGGTGGAGAGGTTAAAGGGGGCCAGGGGAATGGGGAAAAATAAGAATCAATATATATTATGTAAAGGTACAAATCTCCAATGATGAATGTCATTATATTGTGTACCTAAAATGTACCAATGCACTTTATTTTTAAAAAGATTGCATCGTGGGCTGGAAATGCAGCTCAGTGGTAGAGTGCTTGCTTAGCATAAAAAAGGCCTAGAGTATGATCCCTTAGCATGCAATGCAATGAAAAGAAAAAGGGATTGCATTGTTATATTTTATTTCTATAAAAGCACCATAAAGCATCCTTTAAAATTGTATAATGCCTATTTGCATGACACAGTTCAATGAAAACTTACCTAAAAGTAAGCAAACCACAGTGGCTGCCTATCTAACAGCAGATAAATCAGTGGTATCCAATCACGATGAACCGCAGCTCACTGCCTGTTGTCTCCTCTTCCTTTCTGTATCAGTTGTGCACTTTGGTGTCCTGGCTCTGCTTTTTCTGTGCTTCTATTTTACTTCAGCTGTCCTCTAAAGACCCGCTCTCCCTCTTTTTCCCTCTTCCTCCTTCTCTCCGTCTTCCTCTCTGTCCCGTGCCGATGTGTTCCATTCCATTTTTCCCTCACTCCCTCACTCAGAAAAACTCATCTCACGAGACAAAGATCTATCATGTCGCCAGAATGCATGCAGTAGAGGCACGTGTTTTGAGCAGAACTGTAACAGATCACCTCATGGACTACTATCAAACCTGCAGATGGTTGTAAATACTTACCAGCTGTCTGCGGAATAGGAAATTGAGCATTATCTGCAAAGATAACTTCTGATCCCAGGTTTAGAAGTGGATAAATCTCCTACAATCAAATTGCATTTCTGTTTAGTCCTCAACCCCAAGGGATTATAACCTTTGGAAACCTCACTATTTCCTTTTACTGTGCTCCCACTTTATAAAGCACTGTCAATACGTAGCAGTAAGAGCTCAGTACTTATGTGAAGAACTAGCAACAGCGTATTTAACAGATGAATAGGTGACCTAGTTCTGGATTTCGTTTCTCTCCCTAATCACAGTCTCACCCTCACGTGATGATTGTGTATGAAATTTCTAGGTGTGTACTATTAGTTTCCCAAATCCAGAAGACCAAAAACCTTCTTGATTCACTGTTCAAAAGTGATAGTTCAGATACTAAAGACTATAACTTATTTCTTTCTTTGCACCTAGTTACAGCAGTCTACCTCTAATTATTACCATTGCATCTCATTTAATCTAAGGCTAGAGAACGATGCCACTGTATGATGCTTCGATTTAGGAGAGCCACCAAAGTTTGTTTCCCTGTGTTCAGTTTCAGGAGGCTGATTGTCTTTAACTATTTAATTGCAGATGTAAATGAATGTACCATGGACAATGGTGGCTGTCGGGCTCAGTGCTGTAATACAACAGGCAGTTATTACTGCAGATGCCAAGCTGGCCAGAAGCTGGAAGAAGATGGCAGAGGATGTGAAGGTAACAGTTAGGGCTGCCTGTGTACAGATAAGGAGAGACCAAGGGTGTGATTTAGAAGAGGGGCTTTGTGCTTTATCAAGAGCCAGTTGAAATGCTCGTGTAGAATACTGTCAAGAGCACAGATCTTCCTCTCATGCCTACATTACAAAATTGAGGCCCATTAGAGCACTTCAGGTAGCTTATTATAGGAAACATAATTATATACTGGTTTGGTTGTGTCATGTTCTGATTATGGAATTTCAATCATTCATTTAAATCCCCTTGGTAAAGTACATATTTTTGAAAGCATTTCACTTAATTCTAGGGTAAAACTGGTGCTTATCATAAAATACTCGTGTGTTGCTACAATAGAATTTGAAGGGCACAAAACTAAACACTTGGTGTAAAATTAGCTTTTTGCCTAACTTTAATATTCTGCGTCCTTTTAAAATTAATTCTTTTCCAGTTTTATTTATGAATTTGTCATCTTACTCATTTGACAATCGTTGAGTACTTATTCTGTATCAGGCATCACTGCATGCTCCGGAGATATAAAAATTAATGAGAAAAAATTCTTTCTTCCTTAAAAGAGCCTAGAGAAGCAAAGATTGAGACATGCCCAAACCTTACTAAGTGCATTATAGCAGTGTGTTAAGTGCACTGGATTTAAAGAGAGAAGGATTTGAGCCCCTTAATTATGTGTGTATCTTAGGGCAGGTGATTGAATCTTGCTAACATTCTCCTCCTCTACAGTTTAGGATAATGGTAGTTACTGAAACTACAAACTGTGCTAAGATATGCATTTAAATTACTTAGCACGGAAAGTGGCCTCTACTACATATTCAAATGCTATCTATGCATTGCAGTCATTTATGAACTCAATTCATTAGGTCTGAAATGAGGGATAGGAGAGTGTCTTCTTAGACAGTAAGTGAGGGAATCCTAGACTAAAAGGACACCTTTCCATGCCTTATAATTATCTTTACTGAGTCCCCCTCCAGTTCATACTACTAAAAGCCTTTAATATTTTATTTATTTATTTTTATTTTTGCAGTACTGGGATTGAACTAGAGACTTTGTATTGATATATTGTATTGATATATCCCGAGGCCCCACCCATCCACAGATTTTTGTTGTTGTTGTTTTTTGTTTGGTTTTTTTTGGGGGGGTAGGGTCTCACTAAATTGCCAAATGGCCCAGACTTAGCTTGAATTCACAAACCTCCTGCCTCAGCCTTCCAAAATGCTGGGGCTGTAGGGATTCATCAATATGCCTAGCTTAAAATGTTTTATATATTCAGACTATTTCTGTATAAACTATTCCGTTTATTTGTTTAAAATCACAGTAGAAAAAAATTTGTTCTGCCTTTATTTTCTCACTGATCTTAGAAAAATCACACTTATTCCCCCCCCCTAATAATATTTGTTGCCGATGGACACAAATGAAAAACTTGGTAGGTGAAAACAGAACAAATGACGTCCCCCATTGAAACTGCCTGGGGCTGCAGGTTTGATTGCGAGTGCAAGGTAGGATCTCTGATCCAATTCCCTTTATTACTGTCTTCCAAGCAAGAGTATAGCACGTAGCAACAGGAAGCTAAATAGTTCTTTAGGAAAATGAAAATGAAAAGATACTAAGATTTTCCTAAACAACTATTTGATACAGATAGTAAATTAGAGATTCAAATTCTCATTTGTTAAACATACAATGATCTCAAATTTGGTTCCAAAGAACATTATATTGAATGCTACAGCTGTAGAATTACTCATTTAAAACACTTTCTAAATGCATTAATATAAATTTAACTTATTTGAATTACTTTGAAAAATATGAATCAACCTCTTAGTTGACATTTTTTGTGCTATTAAAATAAATCTAGAATATGCTCTTAAATGGAATTGCAGTAGTTGTAATTGGCCTTATTAAGTGATCTTATTTTTAAGCTCTTTCTCTAAAGAAATGTGAATTTATAGAGAAGCCCACTGATTAGTCAATTGCATTGGCAGTCCCTCATCTCAGGTACAGCACTGAATCTAAAGTATATTTTCTGATTTAAAGGGCAGATAGATTCTTACAAGGTACATGTTAAATGAGGAGCAAAAAGTGGAGAAAACAGCCTGCCCCTGGATGTTGTAGGAATGTTAATGTATTGATACAAATCTATTCACAGGACATAAGATTTTTCTTCTGTAATTTGTTAGTGTGAGTTATAATATTTGTAGATTTGTAAATATGGAACTTTCTGCATTTCAGGGAAAACTCCAACTAGATTTTATCATTTTATTTGTTATTAAATTCAATTTTTGTCATTTTGCTTAGGATTTTTCTACCCATAACTATTAAAGAAAAGAAGATAGTAATTTTTGTTTTTCACATGTTCTTTATTACAGCAATTTTTTACCAAAGTGATTTTGTTCCCCATAGACACTTGGCAATGTCTAAGACATCATTTTTATAACAGAGTAATAAGTACTGCTGACATCTAATGGATGAGGCCAAGATATTGCTAATATCTTCTGTGGCTATGATTATACTTGTACTAGGCCTTCTCATTCCATCATCCATGTCTTCTTAATATATTCTATTTTCTGTTCTGTTCCTGCATATGCTGAACCAGTCTTTTGAGCTTCAGAGTTCAATGATTTAAATTTAGTTTTACAACTCATTTGTCTCAAAACTTTCAGTTTCTTCCTGTGTGTATGCTCACTTTTATAAATGGTATCTTTTCCTTGTACTATTTCACAGATAGTCATTCTATATTTTGCATATTATTTCAAAATCTTTGGTCCCTTCCATAAGTTAAGTTTATTGTTTCATAGTTTCAAATTTTCATATTTCATAGGCATCATTCACATATTCTTTCCTTTTGTGTTTTGTATGCCTGAATTATAGAACTTCTTATAGATCACTTTAACAAAGTACATGTTTATACTATTGACTAGACTGGAAATATCTCCTAGGACATGTTGTCTTATCATTTTTTCATTTCCAGATCACAGTTGTCTGGCATGTACTGGAATTCCATAAATGCTTATAAATGATGGATGGACGAATGTCCACCTAAGCATCCAGTCAATATGCCTTTGATTCATTTTCCTTCATACAAATCCTAATCATGCTGGAGTTGTCCTTTAAAATTTTCACTAGTTAATCCATTCAGTTATGTGTAGGTGTTAATGTAAGTATTTACTGATAACAAGTCTGTTACATGTGAAAGGCTAGATCACATTTTTACTTCTAGGGAATAAGTCAAATACTTTGGTTGAGTTTGAACTCTCTGAACCATGTCTCCATATAGCTTATATAAATCACTGGTGCAGTAGCATAACCAGTGTGCCTGTTCAACCCAGTACTTCAATGAAGTAAATTAAACATTTTAATTAAAAGCTACCTGGCATTATTGAATATTTTAGTAAATTACCTATAAGCTAATTAATGTTGATTAGAAATTTGAAGTAAATTCTTCTAGGTGAGAGAAATACATAAACATTCTATACTTTAATGCAGAGATATAAATTCTTCTAGGTGAGAGAAATACATAAACATTCTATACTTTAATGAAGAGATATTGCTTCACTGACAATTAAAATACATAGTAATTTTTTACCAGTTTTCCCCAAAATGCATTGGATGTGATTATGTTAAAAAGCAGAGACTAACTCAGCATGCCACTGTGAACTTATCATTGTTTTTTCTCTAAAAATAGAAGCTTCTGTATATAGAATTTCAGGAAATTAAATAATTTGAACCAACTCGTAAGGTTAGTTGGTAGACAAAGTGACACTAGAAGCCAAGCTTTCCTATTTGTCATCCAGTATCCTTTCCTTTTGCTTTGGCTGAGAGGTAGCATGAACTGGACAGCCAGTTAATCATAATGGTGGGATCTCATTGCTGTAGAGACCCAGGGCCTTTCAACTGTTAAAGTCATGATCAACAGAGGAGGGAAATTAAGACCTAGAGAAAATGCCTGATTTCCTCTGAGTCCCAGATAATTTCTTTTTAGAACTAGGGCAGAATCTAGTTCCCTCTTTCCCCTTTGTTACTCTTCTCAATCCATCAGTCAATCTAGTCAGTAAACATTTATTGCATAACTACTATGTACTTGACATTGTGTTGGATAATCTGAGAATAAAAGTTTACAAAATGTAGTCTTATTTCATATGAGTTCAGAATCATTAAGCATCCTGGATACAAATTAACATGTAAAATTTTAAATGAAATAAGTAAATATATTATATTCTTTGAAATTTTACCCATCAGCCCTGTGTTCATCAAAAGTAGCTGTTTGTTTATACTCATATTTGGGATTTTTAAGAGATGGGGAGTCTGTTTACTAACCCTGCCCATCAGGAAAACTTTTATTATGTGTAATCTACATTTCTCTTGTTGAAATGTAAGCCTCTTTGACTGTATTTTTTCTTATTTCAAACATTTACAAAAACAAAAACATTTACAAAAATACTTACAGTAATTCTTTCATACTTCTATACACCTCTTCAACTTAAGAATATCACTGCTTTTGCCAAATAGGAAATATTATTGATACTTGAAAAATATATGTCTGCATATAAACTCATTTTTTTGTGGATAGATAAAAATAACTTTAAAAGATTGTGAAGAATTTGCTTGCATATATGACATCTCTTAGTCCTTTGTAACGAATTCCTAAATGCTGCTGGCATTATGGAGAATGCCACATTTGTAGTACTTCCCTGGCCTCAAAGAGCTCACAACCTGTTGGGCTGATTTACAAGTGCAGAATAATCTGAGAAAATTCTAGTGGGCTACTGATGTACTACCCTTATGTACTAATGAAACTGTTATCCTTTTTGAACTTACTAAAATATATTTACAGTGCAGAATTCATTATGTTTAAGAAGACTGAACCACTTATTATTTTTGAGATTTTTTCATGGTGCCAACAATTATGCTGAGTTCCCCATTGATTTATTCATCTATTGATTCATTCACCAGACATGTATGTGATGCATGCGTTGTGCATCATGTCAAATAAGCAGTAC